TTCTCATCTCCTGGTTTCCTTTTTTCTTGTCTTTCTCTAATTGGCACTGAGGATTCTTTATGGCTACTTCCAGGCATCACTCTAAACACTTTATTGCACAATTCTTTTTGGTATTCAGGCAAACAAATAAACACACGGATTTGTGAGCCCCTCAGGATATGTAATGAATTTGCTTTTATTTATATTTATATAATTCTTTTTATGACACAGTGGTCATTGGTTTAAAGCAAATGGAATTATTTGTTCTGACCCGGGCTTGTTCCCAAGATCATCAAGCCGACTCCTCATCCCGATAAAACCCCTTTTATGTAGGTTAAAGGGAATTCCTCTCCAGCAAAGTCCCAGCAAACAGTTTTTCATGAGATTTCACAACTACAGACCTTTATCAGGCTGAGAGAGTTGCCAGGGCAATATCTTTCAAACGCCACACTGTAGCAGCAAGTACTTGCCAAGAAGTCAGGAACAGATCTTCACCCGAATGATTTGAACTAATTGTCTTCTGCAAACCTCACCCCCCTTTCGCTCCTCTTTATTCCCTATGGGAGGGGCCATTCCCCGTCCACCTGTGCCTTTACTCCCAAGTCGACCCTTGTTCCTTAGCTGTTCCCTTCTCCTGGCAGCTCTGCGCATGTGCACACTGGGAACAGGCTCCGGCTGTTCTTCTGCCCCACTGATCTCCGACGGCATCTGATAACCGTCAGACGGCCCTGGTCCCATCTCTGCTTCCAATGCAGAGCCCTCGTCCGAGCCTGCCCCAGACTCCAGGACTGGACCAGGTTCCTCCCCAACCTCCTCACTGTCCGAATCAGGTGCCAGCTCCATTGGCTGCTGACAGGCCACAACATTATTCAGAAATAAATGTGGAACTCCTCTGCACATGCATTTATCTGATGCCCCTGAAGGGGAGAAGGTTGATGTCCTCCTCTTCAGGAGACCCCCTTCAGGGGCATTAGATAAATGCATGTGCGTAGGAGTTTCACATTTATTTCTGAATAACGTTGTGGCCTGTGTGGGAATGATCTGGTCAGGCGGGAGAAGGAGTCATAGATAAGACAGATTTTTTTATTTATCTGTATATCGCCTTTAGTATTTTTGCAAACAAACCAAGGCAGCGAACACATCCAACACCCCCGTATCCCCCTATTTCCTCCACAACAACAACCCTATGAGGTGGGTTGGGAGAGAGAGAGAGTGACTGGCCCAAAGCCACCCAGCCCCTTCTCAGGCCCAAGACGGGACAAGTCGCCAGGTGGGTTTCATGCAGAAGGCAGGACCAGAACTCCCAGACTCTTGGTTTTCAGCCTGGGGCCTTAACTGAACTGGCCTCCTTATACCAGGGGCCTGTTCAAAGTCAGGCCAGGGAAGCAGCGGGCGAGCACGCACGTGTGCACACCTCCACTTGTGCAAGGGTCAGGTGCGCACTGCTCGTGCAAAACTCTCCCCTCCCCCCTCTCCCCACTGGTTCACAAAGCCAGAAAGGTTGGAGTCCAGCTGCCTGGTCCAGCTGCCAGGCAAGTCTCAAAGGTACTTCAGCCCAGGGAAGCCCAACGACCGAGGGAAGCCTCTCTCCTTCGGGACGCCCCGTAGTTTTCTGGAAAGTAGAAGTAAAAGAGGGGAGGAATCGTTTCTGAGGTGCAAGAGCCTTTTACTGTATCCTTACAATAAAGGCAGTGCTGGTATTCATGTTTGGTGCTTCTTGTCTGGGCTACCTGACAGTAGACCAATCTCTGGAAGAAAAAAAAAAGGGAAAATATGGCATGCTTTGATTTAACATTTTATGGAGGGAAAAAACATTCTTGGTGCAGTTGGCTTCAAGCGCTGTTCTTGCAAGCTGCACTCTAATAATGTGGAGTGGTGATCAAGGAGAAGATACGTATTATTAGTTGATGAGGTAAGGAACAAGGCTGTAACAAACATGTGTTACAAGGCAGTTTGATGCCAATGGCTGAATTGTTAGGGTGGGAGGAATGAATCAATAGATTTAGAGTGATTTCAGAAGAAAAAGAAGAAGAACATAGAATCAAAGCACATACACTTATTTTCTTTTTGATAGGGGAGGCCCAAAGGATATTGCTTCCTGGCTGCACATATCCATATATCTACAGTATATCTACATCTATTTACACTGCTCAAAAAAATACAGGGAACACTTAAACAACACAATGTAACTCCAAGTCAATCACACTTCTGTGAAATCAAACTGTCCACTTAGGTAGCAACACTGACTGACAATCCATTTCACATGCTGTTGTGCAAATGGAATAGACAACAGGTGGAAAGCAGAGGCAGTTAGCAAGACATCCCCAATAAAGGAGTGGTTCTGCAGGTGGTGACCACAGACCACTTCTCAGTTCCTATGCTTTCTGGCTGATGGTTTGGTCACTTTTGAATGCTGGCGGTGCTTTCACTCTAGTGGTAGCATGAGACGGAGTCTACAACCCACACAAGTGGCTCAGGTAGTGCAGCTCATCCAGGATGGCACTTAAATGCGAGCTGTGGCAAGAAGGTTTGCTGTGTCTGTCCGCGTAGTGTCCAGAGCATGGAGGCACTACCAGGAGACAGGCCAGTACATCAGGAGATGTGGAGGAGGCCATAGGAGGGCAACAACCCAACATCAGGACCGCTACCTCTGCCTTTGTGCAAGGAGGGACAGGAGGAGCACTGCCAGAGTCCTGCAAAATGACCTCCAGCGGGCCACAAATGTGCATGTGGCTGCTCAAACAATCAGAAACAGACTCCATGAGGGTGGTATGAGGGCCCGACATCCACAGGTGGGGGTTGTGCTTACAGCCCAACACCATGCAGGACGTTTGGCATTTGCCAGAGAACACCAAGATTGGCAAATTCACCACTGGCGCCCTGTGCTCTTCACAGATGAAAGCAGGTTCACCCTGAGCACATGTGACAGACGTGACAGGGTCTGGAGACGCCGTGGAGAACATTCTGCTGCCTGCAACATCCTCCAGCATGACCGGTTTGGCAGTGGGTCAGTAATGGTGTGGGGTGTCATTTCTTTAGCCCTCCTTGTGCTCACCAGAGGTAGCCTGACTGCCATTAGGTACCGAGATGAGATCCTCAGACCCCTTGTGAGACCATATGCTGGTGCGGTTGGCCCTGGGTTCCTCCTAATGCAAGACAATGCTAGACCTCATGTGGCTGGAGTGTGTCAGCAGTTCCTGCAAGACGAAGGCATTGATGCTATGGACTGGCCCGCCCGTTCCCCAGACCTGAATCCAATTGAGCACATCTGGAAAATCATGTCTCGCTCCATCCACCAATGCCACGTTGCACCACAGACTGTCCAGGGGTTGGGGGATGCTTTAGTCCAGGTGTGGGAGTAGATCCCTCAGGAGACCATCCGCCACCTCATCAGGAGCATGTCCAGGCGTTGTAGGGAGGTCATACAGGCACGTGGAGGCCACACACACTACTGAGCCTCATTTTGACTTGTTTTAAGGACATTACATCAAAGTTGGATCAGCCTGTAGTGTTTTTTTCCACTTTAATTTTGAGTGTAACTCCAACTCCAGACCTCCATGGGTTGCTACATTTGATTTCCACTGATAATTTTTGTGTGATTTTGTTGTCAGCACATTCAACTATGTAATGAACAAAGTATTTAATAAGAATATTTCATTTGTTCAGATCTAGGATGTCTTATTTTTGTGTTCCCTTTATTTTTTTGAGCAGTGTATATCTATACTTAATTGTCTGTCTGTCTGTCTGTCTCTGGAGAGGAGATCATGATGATGTAAAGAATGTGACAAAAGAAAAGCTTTTAATCTTTTCTAAATGATTCTCCTTAACAGATTTAGGTTGCTATCTGGACCCAGTAACTAGCTAAAATCTCAACTTAGTGGCAGTGCCTTGAAACACTGCAGTAACATTTGATGGATTCTATGGCCAGTGAAGGGCCAGCGAGACTTAGTGATTTGAATGGGAAAATAATGTGCAGTGAAAGGATTTAATTCTTCTGCTTGAAATGGGAGCTTCTTTGTGTTTAAAGTTACGAGGGCTTCGTTAGGCCCGTTTTCGTGTTTTCTTACTGTAGAGAAAAGGGGGTGTCCAAGGAGGAAGAGTTTGTAGGGTTATGCAGAGTAGTTGAATGAACTGTTTGGCAAAGGATTGGCAAGTGCAGGAAATCAGGAGCCACGGCGGTTCAAATGAATGCAGGTTTATTGCAAGCTTATTCTTTGTACAAGAATCTGAACTATTAACGGCCCAAGCAGACTGGAAGGTAGCTGAGAGTCAATGGCATTCAAGGTGGGCTGGACTTGGATCTCTTACGGGCGCGAAAAGACTCGAGACTGGTGATATGTTTGACCCCTCTCTCAGGCTCAGCCTGGTCATCTCCTACAAGAATGCTGGTCCAAATGAAGCAACCCTCCTCGAATCATGAAAGCAGCTACATCCTTTGGAAATAGACTCATGCGGCTGTTGTTTTGCATCCCTCCTCCCTGGCTGTCTGCAGGGATGTGATTTTTTTTTTTTTTACTGATCATACACCCATCTGCACAAACGAGCAATGACAAGCAATTGAAGGAGCTAGATGTGCACTAACCCACTTAACATAGCTCAGCTGAGAGCTCATATTTTAGATTTCTTTTTCTCCCAATTTCAGGCTATTTCTCCGTACACTATCACAGAGGTGTCTTTCAGCAGAAAACAACTGCGTATTCAATTTCTGAAAGTTCACTAAGATGCATAGTATAGAAAATATTTTTAAAAATATTACTAAACCTTGTTTCCAAATTTTCTATGCTGGCCAAGAAAAGATACACAAGAGGGAAAAATCTAGTTAATGCATATCCGTTGGAACTCCTATACATTTTCCCTAATGTACAATATACTTAGCGATTTCTGAATTAGCTACTGAGCATGCTGTCCATTGTAAATCAATTTAGAATTTTAAATCAATCCAGGATCTGATTTAAAATTCAGATACAACCATGGCTCTGGGAACGATTTATAATACTCATTATCTTTTTGTTCTAGAGAGCATGACGTCTGCAACTTCACCCATCATTTTAAAATGGGATCCCAAAAGTTTGGAAATCAGGACTCTAACTGTGGAGAGATTATTGGAGCCACTAGTTACACAGGTAAGTTGTTAAGGCAGATGCATTATTGTTTGTTTGCTAATGTTTTTTTTAACATTTGTAATTCTAATCAGGGTTTATATTGCATTTTCCAGCTTATGACAAGAATGGTGAAGTTTGTCAAATAAGGATTTTAATTGCACTCTGTATTGTGTCATTTTTCAAATTTCATTCAACATTTTGGTTTTCTGAAAAAGATTAAGCTATGTTTTAGATCAAGTAGAAACATTATTTGAAATTATTTTGTGTGTGGTGGGTGGATATGATTCGTCAAATTTGTAGTAGCTAGTGTAAGTAGTAAGTATTCATATGCAGATACAGAGAGTGTAATTCAGGAGTAGTAAGATTGATAGGTGAAATCCACATGTTCTTTGAAAATAAAATTCTAGGATTTTTTAAAAAGATGAATTAATACCAGAGACTTGGATGAAGAACCCATGATGTCTCAACTCTTCCAAACAACAGAAATGGGACCGTCTGGACCTCGGAGACTAAGTAGCGCACAGTGCTGCTGCTACAGATGCCTGTGGAGTACGGATAGACGATATGGTTTCATCCAAGACACTCCGAGCACACCAACTCCGCAGGATTAAATCAGCCAAGGGATGTTATGGGAGACGGTGGTCCCTCAAGTAGCCAGGCCCTGTGGAATGTAGGGCTTTATAGGCATCAACCAGCACCCTGAGTGGCACCTGGAACCACATTGGCAACCGGTGCAGCTTATAAAGCAGAGGTGTCCTATCTCTCCCCCATTACGACTGTTTGCACTGCCACATTCTGGACCAGCTTCCAAATGGTCTTCAGTGGCAGCCCCATGTAAAGCACATTGCAGTAGTCAAGCCGTTAGGTGGCTAGGGCAGGGGGTGACTGGCTGAAGGGCCCCCTGATCTAGGAAAGGGAACAAGTGGTGCCCGAGATAGAATTCAGCCAAGGCTTTCCTAGCCACGGCTGGTACTTGTTCGGACCCAGCCTTAGCAGAAGGAGCAAGAGGCTCCTTGTCACGAAAACTCCCTCTCTTTATTTCCTTCTTGTGAATTAATGGCCTTCACCCACCAAAAAGTCCCAGGCCTTCCAAGAGTTAACAGCCGCAACAGACCTTTATCAGTTCCTTGCGATAAGACGAAAGGCTGCCAATAAGTTCTGGCAAACAGCCTCTGCGGCACGAAACACACTATGAGCACAATCTTCAGAGAGACCAACTCTTGTCTCCTACAACCACCACTCCCCTTTCCTTCTATTTATTCCCCAGCCAGGAAGGGGCCATTCAGCGTCCATGTTTGCTTTGCTTCTCGAGTCATCTCCTTGTCCTCTGTTGTTCCCCTCTCCTAACAGCTCTGTGCATACGCACATCTGGAACAGGACCCAGCTGTTCTTCCTCCCCACTCTTATCGGCCTCCAAAGGCAGCTGCCTCTCCGGTGACTGGGAAATGCCGGATGGCCCCGGCTCTGTCTCTGCTTCTGACTCAGAGCGGCCATCAGAGCCTCCCCCAGACGCCAGAACCGGCCCCAGTTCCTCCCCAACCTCTGAGTCTGCCGCCAGCTCTGCTGGCAGCTGATGGGCCACAACAGTACTTGCTCTTTCAGATTCCCTAATTGTGTGCCAATCTGAAGGGAAGACGTGCAACCCCACCCAAGGTCACTGATGGAACCTGGAGGGTTGAAACACCCTCCCCTTGGTAGATCTTGGTAGGATTGAGGGAGAGGTAGTCCCTTCTCCCCACCCAAAGCCATCATACTGTAGCCTCCAGGCCTTGGGACAGAACTTTGAGAGCCTCACTTGCCTTTATTTTTTTATTCGGTACCAGATAAAAAATTATGAAAAAAAATAAATACAAGTGTAATGGAACTCTTGCTTAGCACAAAGATATGAAAGGAAGAAAAGAAATAAAAACACTTATGGTTATGAAATGATACGTGGTAATGCACTAAGTGTTTCCAAATAATATATTTAATGGAATTACAGTTTTGTTTCTTTGAAATGACTGGAGCTGTTCCATTTGCAACAAAGGATGTGAATGAGAGTGTCCTGTTGAAAGAGAGGAAATATTATTTCTAACTTCAGTTAATATTTAATCATAGTTATGAACGTTGACTCACTGACGGTGCCTTTCAGTAGCGCTTAAAATTAGGTTTGTAATCTTGCAAATGAAAGCATAAGAAAATAGGTCTGGTGAGCATTCCATTAGGAAAATATAGAAACATATAGGAACAGTATAGCAGAGTTAGAAGGGACCTTGGAGGTCTTCTAGCCCAACCCCCAAATGTCGATTGTTTCAGTGTCCTTACTTGATTGAGGGTTGATCATGTGCAGTTTAAGTAAGCACAGGTAGTCCTCGAATTACAACCATTAATTTAGTAATGATTCAAAGTTACAATGGCACTGAAAAAAAGTCACTTCTGTCTGTTTTTCCCACTTATCACTGTTGCAGCATCCTCATGGTCATGTGATCAAAACTTGGACCCTTGTCCACTGACCTGTATTTATGACGGTCACAGTTTTATTTAGTTTATTTAGTTGTAATGCTTTACATAGTTTCTGTAACTTTCCATGAAATGCCAAGGGAACCTTTATGTATCCTGTTTATAGCTTGATCAGCCACTGCTATCTGGAAATTTCAACTTGTTCAAATTATGGTTGTCCGGTTGTTAGGGGCAACGTGCCACAGAGTGTCATTACAATGGTTCTGAAGAAATCTCATAACTTCCTAAATTATAAATGGAATAGTGGTACATTATTTGATTTGGTGGTTTTAAAATGTCAAAGTATGTAGGGTTGATATTGTATAATGTTTTGCATTTATTATCCTGTATATACATTCAACTATATTTCATATACGTGAGCATATGAAGAGTCATATATATTTCAGAACAGGAAGCCCTTGATTTATAATAAGAAATAATTACAAATCATGGAATTTGAAATCGAGCTTCTAGTATCTGGTTTCACCAATTAAACTAAGCCACACTTAATGTGATTTCATTTTAGTTTGTGTGATATGTGAATCTGCCCTTTCATGTTAGTAACCTATACTTCCACTTAAGAATTATATGTGAACCAGATCATGGAGATATAGGTTGATTTTGTGCTGCAGCCCTCCTATCAGAACATATACTGTATATGAAATACAGTATATATACGTCCTTATATACTCTATTGGTTGAAACTGAAATATTTCAGGAAGGTTTCAAACTATTTTCTGTTTTAAAGGTTTTTTTTTTTTTGTCTGTTGGATGAATTTGTAAGATGAGAACAACTTGCACACTTCCCCCCCTCTTTCTGGCCTAATCTGATTGTGTACCGTTCACCGATTTAACTTATGCATTTAAAAAATGTATTGATATGTCAGATACTTAACTACCAGGAAGACAGGAAGAAAAGGGTAGTGTTTTGATTTTGATCTAGATCACTTTATGTGTAAATTTCACATATCAGCAGAAATATAGGGTGAAATAGGCTGGCAACCAGCATAAAACCAATTCAAATGAGATGCAGATACAGTTTTAAATTAAAACTTTCAAAGCACTTAGAAGCGGAATCTAAATGAATTGGTACAAATTGGTACAAACTGTGTAATTGATGTTTCAACAAACTCAGTTTGTTAATAAAATACAGTGTTTTTTTCTTATAAAATCCTTTTAGTTAATATTTGATTGAAGATGTCTGGATATAGTCTTAAGTAGTCAGTATAAAACTTAGCTGTCAGCATTTGAATCTGGTATAGGTATTTATAGAGCCATCAAATAGATAGTCCTCCACATACAACAACAATTGAACCCAAAACTTCTGTTGCTAAGTGTGACAGTTGTTGTCATTCATGACCTTTCTTGCTGCAGTTGTTAAGTGAATCACTTCAGTTGTTAAGTGAGTCTGGCTTCCCCCATTGATTTTGCTTGTCAGAAAGTCACAAAAGGGGATCACATGACCCCTGGGACACGGCACACACACACACACACACACACACACACACACACTCCCCGTCATAAGTACATGCCAGTTGCGCAAAGGTCCAGATTTTGATTATGGCAATAGTCATAAACGTGAAAAATGATCATGTTACTTTTTTCAGTGCTGTTGTAACTCCAAACACTCACTAAACAAATGGTCATAATCCGAAGACTACCTTTAAGTCTTCCAGAACCTTTTACTTGGAAAGTCAACTGAACTACAGAACTAAAAAAAATCTAGTTTGGTCTCTTTATGCCAGATATTTGGAAGAAATAAGATGTCATCAGATTGCAGAAGCCAGGAGACTCCAGCTACTGACTTCTTCAGCCCAGGTTGACCTGCATGGTGACCCTAGGCCTTATCTACGCTCTTCTGTAGCTGTTGGCTCGAATATAATGTTGGAAATGATCACAGTTGAAAGAAGCAAACATAATTTGGAAGTGGAGAAAGAGATGGAATAGCAGATGGATGGGGAAAAAGGACTTCGGTTTCTGGGCAAGTTGCAAAAGGAACATCAGGGATTCCATATGTTGCTCATCCGTGTCCGTTTTATAATTTATGCATACAGTTTTCCATCTCCTATTGAGTTTAAAAAACTCCTGGAATGGCTTGTAGAAATTAAGATAAGTTCATCTGTTTTGGGGGTCTATGGACTAAAACAAGAATTTCTTCCAGTTTTCTTGGTAACAATGTGGGAGTAATATGTGAGGTTCCTCTTTCAATACTTCAATCAGATTAAAACTCTGCAATTTCCTGCTGCTTTTCCATCTGAACAGCCTGAACAAAGTTGCCTGGGGGCGCCGTTTAGCTGGCACAACCTAAAAGAAAATGGAAGGGATGAGGAAAACGAAGAAATCTAGGCAAAGTTCCTAGTTTATATTGTTATCATAGGTTTTGGGAAACTGGTAGAGGACTTTGTACCCCACAGATTAAGTTGAAGTCCACAAGTCTTAAAGTTGCTAAGTTTGGAGACCTCTGCCCTAGACCACTTCAGACAAATGGTTGTCCACTGTTTTCTTGAAAACTTCCAGTGTTGGTGCATTCACAACTTCTGGAT